GATGTCCGTTCTGTTCGCTTCTCTCCTGGGGCTCATTACCTTCTCACAGGATCATATGACATGAAAATAAAAGTCACAGACCTGCAAGGTAATTTCACTTCTGAATGATTTCTAAATAGCACAAATGTTCCCCATCTCTATCTTTAGGTCAACTTCATAAATTTTATTAGATTTTTTATCCCACCTTTAGTATTTTTTATAAATAATTCAAGGCAACAAATATGCCTAATACTCCTTTAACTTCCTATTTTCCACTCAGCAATCCTGGTGGTTTGGCTGAGAAACAGTAAATGGTCCAGAATCACCCAGAAAGCTTTCATACCTAAGGCGGGATTAGTATCAAGTCTCTTGGTTTCTCACCAGCACCTTAATCATTGTACCAAATATTTATCTAACTGATCCTTATATAAAATATGTGCCATTATGGAAAACTATATCTGTCTCCTTTAATTTCTGGAACTCAATAGTAGAATTGCTAGTGATTTCTGAAAAGGTTTGGTTCTAGCTCATTGATTTTAGCATAAACTCCTTTAAGTAGGTTGTGGGTTTATGTAGGATTAAGTAGTTTGTAGGTGCACACCACATGGAGACTTTCTGTAACAATTAAAATTTTATTTGCATTTTCACTTTTGTTCAGTACTATGCAGCGTAAATTTTTTTTTATTTTTAAAACATTGTTAAACATTATACAAATTATTGAATTATCCATATACTATGCAATTTTAAATGCAATTTAATTGCAATCCATTATATTTTTATGATTTGATGGTAACTTCTGAGATTGAAAAAAAACCCATTAAAAATATATGTGTAGATAGTATAAAGATAAAGGTTCCCCTTGCACATATGTTCTAGTCATTCCCGATTCTAGGGGGCGGTGCTCATCTCTGTTTCAAAGCCGAAGAGTCAGCACTGTCCGAAGACGTTTCCGTGGTCATGTGACCCGCATGACTAAACACCAAAGGCTCATGAACACTGTTACCTTCCCACCAAAGATGGTCCCCCTTTTTCTACTTGCATTTTTACATGCTTTCAAACTGCTAGGTTGGCAGATGCTGGGACAAGTAACGGGAGCTCACCCTGTTACACGGCACTAGGGATTCAAACCACTGAACTGCCGACCTTTCGATCGACAAGCTCAGGGTCTTAGCCACTGAGCCACTGCATCCTCTTAGATAGTATAGTTTATTACTTATTTTTGAAGAGCTAGATATAGAATTATCTGTTCTGTAATAGATGAAATGAGGGAGTGGAAAGCATAATCCATCTGATCTGTTTCAGAGTACAGCTTTAATGATCTTGAACTAAACAGTATTAACGAAGTTTATGTGAAAAGCAGGAGTGAAATGCTTCCGGTTCGGACCGGATCACCTGCTCCGTTAGTGATGGAGGTGGGTGGTTTGGAGAACCAGTAGCAAAAATCCCTGCCCCCCCCCCACATTGCCCAGCTAAGCCGTGCAATCATCAGAGGCTTTTTTTTTTATTTTTAAAAGCATTTTTTCTACAACCTCTTTGGTCGAAAAAATGCTTTTAAAAGTAAAAAAAAGGCCTCTGATGATCACGCGACTCAGCTGGGATCATCAGAGGCTTTTAAAAGCATTTTTTTACAACCACTTCAGCTGAAGAGAAAAAATGGTTTTAAAAGTTAAAAAAAAAAGTTGGCCATGCCCAATCAGTCATATTACCACCCCCACGCCCACCAAGCCACGCCCACAGAACCGGGAGTAACAAATTTTACATTTCACCACTGGTGCAAAGATAAATGGCGGTGATGTGCAGACATCCTATAAGCAATATTTATTCTAATTATTTTTCATAGGTGACCTTACTAAGCAGCTACCAACTATGGTAGTAGGGGAACATAAAGACAAAGTGATTCAGTGCAGATGGCACACACAGGATCTTTCCTTCTTATCATCATCTGCTGACAGAACTGTCAAACTCTGGAGTTATAACGTATGAATAAAGCACAGATCCACAAGACAACTGGAGTGTCTATAAAAAAAGCAGCATTTGAGCAAGAGGATGCATCCCACAGAAATTTGGTTGTTATGAGATGTTGGTGTGTTGGTGTGGATTATTATTTTTCAGTGCTTTCCATGTGATCTCATGCTGCTACAACCTACTGTAGTCTTGTTACTGAGGTTTGTTACAAGAGCTCTTGCAAAGTCAATGTGCACTCCAAAAGTTAATTTTATTTATGTGTTTACACTTTGTGTTATTTGCATTCCCTGGTCTTTGTCTCAGTGACAATATTTTTTAAAAATTCAGTTTGAATTAGAGTTCAAGGAAATTCACATGCAATATCATAGCATCCACACAAATAAGTCTTGTTATGCCATGCTGTACAACATTGTTTACATCTATCTTAATTAATGGTCCAAAACCTTACCCATCGAAGTTTCATTTAATACATTTAATTATGAACTCTAAAGATGGTTAAAGATGAGCTGACTCTTGATCATAGTAACTATCTAGAGATTGAGATATATGATTCTCAGTTTGAGGTGTTAGATTATGTTCAAAATTCAAGCTTTTGGTAGAAAAAACATTGGTGTAAAGAGACATTAGCGTTACTGAATGCGAATGCAACAAAATACCTCTGTGTAATGTAGGAAAGCAAGCACACTATTAGGTGTGGTTGGTACATGATATCAGTGGCTATAATCCTTCCTACAGAGGCACGTATGTGGAAGTATTGTGTATGCAGTTAGGAATTTTTCTGAAGTTGCTATAATTACTAATTGCATTGTTGAAAAGAAAATTAATATATTAAATTGCCCATTCCTCAGCATTGCAAAACAGTATAGTAAAATGTTTCAAAATATCCTCTGGTTACACACAGTTTTCTCCTGTGTATATATAGAATACCATACAAATTTTAAAGGCAATAGCATGGCTTGAAATGCTATGTCTGCATGATAATCTAAATTATTTCCCAGTTCAGAAGTTTATTTGGAACTTTTAATTTCTTGCACTGACTATATAATATAGTTGCAATTTTATTTCTATAGAGTATTATGTTCATGTATTGTTTTATATTTTCATATTGTACATTTATATTGCTTTTAAATTAAATTCTTAAATATTTGAATTATTTATTTGAAGTAAAATTTAAGGCTTGGTTCTAATATATGCTGTGCACTGTAGCAAGATCTTTTTGAACTGTCATTAAAAAAAAGTTGAGGTTACTATAGAAGTGTATATGTACTTAATTCAATAAAGAAAGTGAAGCTACATGTTTTTTCTTGCTTCATATGGAAACAACTACCATGTACTTGCATATAGGAAGGTATATGAATAAGACGACAATCACATTTTTACCAAAATAACCTGAGAAATGCATTACCCACAGATAGGGTGACCCACATTTTTCATGCTATTTTGAATAAAAATTCAAAGACTGCTTATGCTTGGATGGGCTTATCTGTGCATATTTATTGGAAATATCTCTACTTTTGAAAACTTTATCATATATACTTACAGATAAGCCCATCCCCAAAAAGCCAAACTTAACTTTTAAGGTGCATTTTGGCACCTAAAATTCTTGCCTTATCCTTGAGTATATATGGAAACCAAAATAGCAGAATAAAGCTTTACAATAACAGCAGCAATGTAAAATTCATCTGAATAATAAAGATGGTTATTATGTATTCATTTAAAAGCCCTCTGAATTTCTTAACACCTATGTAAAAAGCCAGATTAATATAGTGATTAAGTCACCAGGCTTGAAACCAGGAGATCGTGAGTTCTAGTCCTGCCTTAGGCACAAAGCCAATTGAGGGATCTTGGCCCTTCACTCTCTCATCACCCTAGCAAGCAGGCAATGGCAAGCCACTTCTAAAAATCCTGCCAAGAAAAATGCACAGACTTGTCCAGGCAGTTGCCTAGGCCAACTCTAATTCAAAAGCACAAACAAACAAATTGAAAAAAATAGCAAGAGAAGGAATCTTGCATCATCCTGTGGACTAATATTCCATAAGGCTAGGAGAAAAACAGAAAACGTTGTCTTTTGTTCAGGGATATTTATTCAAGAATCTGCTTTTTTATAGCTGATCAGCAGTTTTATAGTTGATCCTGATCCCCACAATGCATAGCCAACTACTGAAATGCTTCCAAACAGATACTCTCCTCTGACTATTTAAGATCAGCTTTGCACCTCCATTCAGCTTCCCTACTCATGGGCATATTTTCAGACTTTTTCTTTCATGTAGCCGAAAAGTGCCCTCATATCTGATACGTATTTATGATTAACTGAGTGAAAATAAGAGTTACTGTAGATCTCACAATATTACATTTTATGCAGTCTTAATTGGACTTTATCCCTAAAGTAGATAAATTCTCTAGCTTCCTTGTCAAAATTTATTATGAGTAATGAAAAAGCTACATTTATATTTTGCCCGATAAAGGAATTTTTGGAATTCTACAAGAAACAAATATACAAATTTGGATACCAAACGCAAAATATATCTGTAATCCTAACTTTTAAAAAAACTGTTTTTTGCAGCTAATTCTATCAAAATGCCTGGTGAATAGAAAAGACCTTTTTATCTGCTACCAAAATGTCCAGGAAACCCCCCACATGAAATTCCAAGGAAGATGTGATTTACTCCTCATGTCTTATCAAAAGACTTTATTTTGATAGTTGTATACCTAACAAACTCAATTCACTTTAAGTAGATCCTTTAAAATAGTCCCTAATTCCAGGTAGATGTGGTATATACAGCATAGGAGGAGAGAACCTTTTTAACAAGTTTGGTCTCAAAGTGATTTCAGCAATAAAAGTTGAGACTGTAGAATGCACTGTAATCCTAAAAACCTCTTAAATTTAAGAGACCTGTTCTCGTGGCAAAATCATAGAACTGTAAAAATAAAAAAGGAGGGTCCATTTTCCTCCCCCTAATATTTAGCTTTCCCCAGACCCATCTTCCTAGTATCAGCGAGGTAGCAACTCCCACCCCCCCTCAGGCTCTCCAAAAGCGAGGTCGCAAAGCAGCCCGCCTGTGATGTCGACAGCAGTTCCTCTCTATCTTGTTCAGTCACAATTTGGGACCCAGAGCAGAAACATCCAGATAACCCCGAAGCTTTGCTCAGCAACCCTCTTATCTCAGCAACCGGACATATTATATTTCCCGAAATGCAACGCTGGGCGTTCACATCATCAGCGTCTGCATTTCAGGCGACAAAGCGCGAGTGGCGACGACGCTCCCAGCTCCGCCGGGCAGAAGCGTTTTGGGTAAACGGGCGGAGAGAAACAGTGGCGGGAGGAAGGCGGCGAGGGAGCTGGGCGGGCTGAGGCCACGGTCGGAAGGTGTGTGTGTGTGGGGGGGGGGGGGTGCAGACGAGGGATAAGCGGGGCCTTCTGCGCTCGCGGGGGACGCCTCCCCGTCGAGGGCGGTTGCCGCACCCCACCTGCTTCTCCTCTTGCGGGTGCGCGCGCGTCTCTGTGCCCGCGCGCATTCTTTTTGAAGGAAAACATGTCCCGCTGGGAATTGTCAGCACGTTTTCCCGCCCAGTCAAAGGGCTTCAGCTTTTAAAATGAGCCTGCCCGTGTAGGGTGCGGCAGATTTTTCGGGAATCCGTATGATTTTTGTGTGGGGAAACTGACGGCGGATTTCCATTATCTGCAGCCAGGCGTCATGCATGCAATTCCTGCGGTTGCTGCGGCCTTCCCCTATAATTTCCTTTCCCAGGGCGGTTTTACCCTCTTCATATCTATGGCTTCAGGTCATCATAATAAAGAAAAGGACTAACAGTACATTTATTTGACACATATTAAAGAGTACAAGTAATCCTCGATTTACAACTTGTCGTTTAGGGACCCTTCAAAGTTACAATGGCACTGAAAAAAGTGACTTTCCACCGTTTTTCACACTTAGGACCGTTGCAGCCTCCTCCTGGTAATTGCGATCAAAATTTGGTCGCTTGGTAACTGACTCATATTTATGACGGTTGCAGTGTCCTGGGGTCATGTGATCACTTTTTGCGACCTTCCAAGCAAAGTCAATGAGGAAGCCAGATTCACTTAACAACTGTGTTACTTACTTAAAAACTGTACTGATTCTCTTAACTCTGGCAGGAACCGTCGTAAAATGGGGCAAAAATGCACTTAAACGTTTCGCTTAGCAACAAAAATGTTTTGCTTAATTGTAGTGGTAAATTGAGGATTACCTGTATGTATCACTTATTGACTCCAGCAATTGAAAAGGATACGAAGGGGCATTGTTTGATTTGTACTCAAGTCTCCTGAATGGTCTGTAAATATGTTCATCTATTCGTTGAGTGGGTGTGTATTCTACCTTGCATTTGGTAGCTCAAGGTAGGGCAGGGAGCACTCCTTTCTCCTGTATCCCGCAACAACAACTTTGTGAGTAGGTGTGGCTCAGAGAGAGTGACTGGGAAAGTCACCCAGGGACATTCCACAACTGGCTGTTGAAACTGGCTGTTTTATACAGATAGTCCTCATTTATCATCTGTCTCGTTTAGCAACCATTCAAATTACAACAGTGATGAAAAAGAAACTTTACAAACCTTCACAGGTCTGTAAAGCGAAGGAAGGCTTAAATAAAATCGTAAGGACAGTCGTCGTTTCATTTAGTAAGTGTATGCACGTGGGATTGCATTACTACTTTTTAAAAATTATTATCATTTATGAAACTATGCTGCCCATCTCGTGGAGATGACTTCATTACTAATTTTCTCTCTCCCTATCCATCCCAACTTGAGGCTCTTCAAAGGGGAATAGAACTTCTATTATTTAATTTATTATTAAATTAAATTAAATCTATTATTTAATTTATTATTATCCCACTGTTATTTTTATAAATAAGGCGATGAAGGTATCTAATATTCCTCTCTCCTCCTATTGTCCTTTAAAGATCTGGAAATCCAATAAGAGTGGGCTATTCCTCCCAAAAATGTTTATTTGAGCAAATTCCCCCTTTTAAAGCAACAAAATATTTATATCAAATAACCATTCTCCTATTGTCCCCACAATAAAAGCACTGTGAGGTGAGATAAGCTAACAGGGTGACTGGCCCAAGGTCACTCAGCTGGCTTTCATTGCTAAAGCGGGACTTGAACTCACTGTTTGCCAGTTTCTAGCCTGGTGCCTATGACATCCTGTGAATAAGGGCAGGATTTGCTGGGGATGATGAGAAATATACTGTACTCAAAGCTATCTAGACGGTAGCAAATTGGGGAAAACTTTAATAAGTTTTCTAATGTATTCCATTTGGAATATTAATTTACAATTTTGTTTTGTAATTTTAGGATACCTGCTACACAGAACTGAACAATTTATCCATAGCATTTATCCATATATTGGTTTCTTCTTCTTTATATTATATGGGGTGCAGTGATCATATATTACAAAAGAAAGTCCTTTATTTCAGAAAACTACCTTAGATTTATTTTATTTAATTATTTGTTTTCTTGGTTTTGCTCTTGAATTTTCCTTTATAGAGCAGAGTTATAAACATGAACAATAATTCTTTATCCTTGTAAACCTCTTTCAGATTTTCCCGTTTTTCAAGTTTCTATAGTCACTGTATGCATAGGTAACAATTTTATTATTTTATAGTCTTGGCTCAAATAGGGTTTTTAATAATTTTTTGGAAGTGATACGATTTTATCTTTTTTAAAACTTCTACTGAATAGCCAGGCTCATCTATACAACTTAACAAAGAAGAAAAGACGTCAGTGTTATCATTATTTCATCACAGAGAAAAAATTTAAGAGTTGGAACTTCAGTTCTAAAGTCCCTACAATGTCTATTTGTAAGATTAATTACAGATAGCAGGCAGTGAAACAATAAGCACAAAACTTACTCTTGCAAATGTATCCGGTCTAGCAGACTGTAATTATTCTACTGATAGAAAGTATTATTTATTACGGGAGAGTGGGAGGAAGGAACAAACTTTTTTCTGCTCTTTTTCTTTTCATTTTTGTGATTGACTTGTTTTTCCCTATGCACAATTGAAACAATGTATTCTACATGAAGCTCTTCAGGTGAATTCTGAATACTAAATCATAGTGAAAATGAAAGCTGTTTAATCATTTCTCTTTCAATAGAGAAATCAAATATGGGGTTGTGTGATGTTCACTGATATTTATTCAACAGCATTGTGGAAATGAGTAGGGATGGATTCTTCTCTGTTCAGCCTCCCATATTTGCCAAAAGGACGAAACCAAGATTGTTTATGTAAATAAGTACACAAATAATATTCCTCTTTTGAGCAGAGCTTGGGTCATGCATTGCTGGGAAATAGCTTGTTGTAGCCAGACAATTCAACAACTTGGAAAATATTGAGCACTAGATGGTTAAGTTTGCCCTGAAACTCCTGCATTTTGCTAAAATCATCCAATGTGCTCCCTGACAGAGGATGCTACTTTATTTGCTCCTGTATCCAGTCCTGCTGATAGGAAGGAGTGAAGCTCAGAATGATGATTGGATTGATCCAACAGACATGTTGAATTATGATGCAGCATCAGGAACAATGCGAAAGCCTGACGAGGTAAGTGTAGAGATATTGGAGTCGCTTTGGATAGTAACACTATTGTAATAAATAAATATTCTTTCTTTATGATGCAAATTCAAGGTCATCACTTTAGGGTTAAGGTTAGGAGCTGTTTACCTTAACTTAGATATCAGAAATGCCTCCTTTTTTGGAGGCACAAAGTCATTAAATTTAAGAACATTGAGTTGAGCCTTAAAGCTTTGAAAACAGTTTTAAGAATCCTAAGGATCCACAAAAGAGAGGGTTTGAAGAAACTAGAATTTATTTTATTTTTATTTTATTTTACTTCAGATTTATATCCCGCCCTTCTCCCTAGGGACTCAGGGCGGTGTACAGCCAAGTAAAAACACATAAATACATAATACATAGATTAAGAACAGATTAAAAGGAAATATCTCAATTTGGCCCACAATTTAAAAAGACAAATGAATTTAAAATCATTTAAAATCATTTAAAAGGATTTGTTAGGCCAGCCCGGCTTGTTGAAAAAGGAAAGTTTTAAGGGAACGGCAGAAGGCACGAAGGTCTTGGATTCTCCTTATCTCTGGGGGCAATTGATTCCAGAGGGTGGGAGCCCCCACAGAGAAGGCCCTCCCCCTGGGGGTCACCAGCCTGCATTGCTTGGCTGATGGCACCCCGAGGAGGCCCTCTCTGTGGGAGCGCACGGGTCGATGGGAGGTCGTCAGTGGCAGAAGGCAGTCTCGAAGATAACTAGGTCCTATGCCATGGAGCGCTTTAAAGGTGGTAACCAACACCTTGAAGCGCACCCGGAAGACCACTGAGAGCCAGTGCAGCTCGCGCAGGAGCGGTGTTATGTTATTGAATTGATATTCAGGCCTTCCATTTCTGTTTTTTTTTAAATTAACTCCCAATACCATAAATCATGTGTACATTAATGTGCTCACTCAGAAATCTATGTGGACAGAAACACTTTTGTATGTATTATTCTGAGCAGCCTTTCTGCATTTTAATCACTCCCCATTCAAACGTGTACAGTTTTCACTGCTATCAGGAGAAAAAACATTTCAAAGCTCCTGACTATGAAGAATTTTTTGATGAACATCAGTGAACTGTGGACAATAGTCACCATAATCAGAGAGGAGAGACCTCAATAGGATCATAATTGATATTGTTGACCAATTTGCTGTTCAACTGAAACTAGTATGTAGTTTTGTTGATCTCTACCTTGGATATATATCTAACTGTATATTTTTTGTAGAAATAAGCAGAATGAAGCAGCTTCACTGTTTAATATTAACAAATGATTAAAATTGCAGCATGTGAATCAGGATAATTTTGAAAATAATAGATTACCATCAACAAAAGTGGCTGAAGAAAATCTAATGGAAATTTCCAGGTGCCAAACAAAACTAGATTCTGTAACTCATAAGGTTAGTTTACATGCATGCCAGTTGACTATGTATATTTTTAATAAAATATTGCTTACTTGTTACTTGAATAAATTCTGACCTTGTTAAAATACCATTTTTATATTTGTAGATAATATTCCATATTTTTTAAAATAATTGCTGTTAATGGTCATGGATATTTTCAGCTAGACACCTACAGCTGAAATTTTTCAGCATACATTTTGTTAGACATTTCAGAGTAACACAACAAAGAAAAAGAACGAAGAAAAGGGATGAAAAAAAATACAAATGAATAAACAAGATATTTACAAATATCAAAGTTATAATTTTACAGCATATCATTATTTAATTGTGAATAACTAAAGCTTAAAAATTGCTATTAAGTCTAAAGAAGCATAAATATCAATAACTGTGGTCAGCAAAATATAAACCACAGAATTATAAATGAAAATAAATCCTATCTATTCATATCTTTTTTACTAGCCATATTAATTTATTTGTTTTGTTTTCCTTGTTTATTTTATTGTTCTAGTATTTTATTTTCACTTTGTTTAAACTTCCTTTTTATTTCTTTGGGTTTTTTTTTATAGTTGTGAGCTGTCTAGAGTAGCCCCATGGAGAGAGAGGTGGCAAATTATTTTATTATTATTATTATTATTATTATTATTATTATTATTATTATTATTATTATTATTATTATAATATCTGGAGGTTTTCTAGACTAGACAACAATTTGACCAGGATGCACAATTTGAGCAGGGGATTTGACTAGATGACCTTATAGGTCCCTTCCAGCCTTGTGATTCTATTTTCTATATTACTAAAAATCTGCTCTAATTTTGAAATCCTATAAAATTGAAATATAGATTATTTGCATAATGAAACCCAAATTTTGGATGTGATACAAATCCGTGTATTAAATTGTAATCTAGAAATGGTTTTCAATTAGAATAAATTCCGTGTTAATTTACTTTTAAGATATGAAATTAGTCTGATCTTAAAGCATACTCCCATAACTTGGTTAGTTGTTTTTCCATAGACAGGATCAAACATCCTTTCTAAGGAAAAGCATATACTATCCTTGCAGCAATTCCCACATATACAGCTAATTCAGTACACTTTGAACAAATGTATGTTTTATATGATTATACTATATGATTTAGTAAAATATAATCAAAATATCTCAGGTTGAAATTTCAATTTTAAAATTTGTTTCATTCTGGTTTGAATATTTTCCAAAGCTTTTGAGTTTACAGTATTACTACCAGATGCTAAAGATTGATCAGATCTGCTTGTTATATTTCCATCAATTTATACCAGAGATAACTCTGGAGGACTTTATTTTTTTCAGCTTGATGAATATGAAAAAAAATATAAAGTAAAATTACATGAAAGCAACAGCATTCATGTTTTTAGAAGATACTTGAACAAGATTTTAAATGAAGTTGGAAGACTTGGACTAGTGAGTACCTAAGAATCAGTTAAGAATTTTGAGCACTTTTATTGATATGTGTGTTCTCTCGTTGCTAAAGTACATGAGTTTGAGTAACTTAACTGCCCACCTTAAAAAAAACTGGTCTATCTAACAAATGGCATATATCAGTTAAGAAGCAAGCTACAAAGGTAGAGGGCAGTTGTTTGAGGCCTTAGTTTGCTTGATTTACATGTGTAACAATTTGAGATAGAATTTGAGAAAGTCTTGGACTTGAGTCCTTCTTAACTATGTATGAAAATCAGCATGATCAAGTACTTAGGGTGATGCTGATGCCATTAAGTGGATGCAGAAAACCTTCTTGGGTGATGGACACTTTTGGACTCCTCTGATCACATTATGAGTAAACTCGCAAACAAGTATTTGCCAAGCAAAGGTACAAATATTTACAGGTTGATGCTGCAGTGGGCTTAGTGAGTCATGAAAATACTTAAAGGTGAACTCAAGTTTGCAACTTCACTGAAGAAAATTATCTGAGTGGCTGAGCTGAACTTACTCCCGATGTTTATTATCTGAGTTGCCCACAATGCCTGGGTGAGGCCCAAAAGGAAATGTAAATGATTCTGAGGCTGGCACTTACTTTGGTTGACTTTATGGTACAGTAGTTTTTAATTTAATATTTTGCTTTAACAATGCAGTAATACTAAGTTTTACATGCTTTCAGGGCACATTTGGCTGGTGCCTGCTACAACATCCAAACTATACTGTGATTGGGGATAGTAATGTAACATCTTTAACATTCAGTGTATTTTGTAGCCAAACACACATTTTCTTTAATCCTCATTCTGGAGAGTAGTTTTTGATGACTATGCTTGATCCTTTGAAAGGCCACCCAGTCAGGATTTAGCTTATGACTGACCAGCTGTGATTGTTTTGCATGTATTTATTTTGCAAAAGAGTTTTGGCTGCTTTGATTATTTTGTGTGTGTTTTATTTTAGCCCAATGATAATACCAGGGAAGTGCATTATGATGCTGAGATCATTCTCACCAGACAATCAGTTAATGAAATTAACAAGTTCCTTAAGGAAGAAGACTGGAAATCTGCATCTCTAGATGAAGCTGTTAATAGTATCCTGATTAATTGTAGACCTCATGATTATGAAGCATGGAAATGGAAATTTGAAGACACATTTGGGGTTGATCCATATAATGTCTTCATGGTAAGGGAAGCTTTCTGAAATACAATGTCTTATGAATGGTAAATATAGCATGAGTAACAAAATGGTTACTTTTTACCCCTAATGCTAAATTCGTTTTAATGATAGTGTGGTGGCTCATGTAGTTAGGACCCTGAGCTGATGTTTGATTTGCTGCCGCAGGATGGGGTGAGCTCCCATCACTCACTCCAGCTCCTGCTGACCCAGCAGTTCAGAAGTGGCAAATGCAAGTAGATAGATGGGTAACATTTTGGTGAGTAATTTAACAGGGACATGAAAGGAGCACTCAAGTAGGTATCCCCTGGGCAATGGCGATGTCATCCTTTCAACCCGGAATCTTTTTAGTGCTCCCGATATGACTGTAGTAGTAGTTTTAATGATGAACAAGCTACAAGGGAAATGCACATCATACTAAACAGAAATCAACAAACTACACACCAATAATATGAGAACAACTTAATTTTATGTGATTTTTCTCAATAGTGATGAAGCACCTCAATTTTTTGATTTATTTGTTCAAAAATGAGCAAAAAAGGAAGAACAATATGAGCTAGATAATTTTCTCATCATAAATAGTTTCCCGCTGGGAGTTCAGGAGAATTCGTGATTGCACTGTCTACTTGAGAATGCAAAAACAAAGTGAGATGAAGCATCTCCCAGTTCACAATGCATTATCACAAGTTACAAAAGATGATAATAAATCATACTTATTTAAATTCAGTTTATTCAGCATATTTTTAATCACAAGATAGAAATGTGTCTGTTGAAATTAATAAATTCTGACCAACTGCATTCCTGTATTCATTCTTATTTTTCCAAAAGGTTCTTTTGTGTTTAGCAAGCATCTTAGTCATTATTGCAACAGAATTATGGACGCATGTTAGTTGGTTGACTCAGATGAAGCGTCTTATGATCATCAGTTTTCTCATCAGTTTTGGATGGAACTGGATGTACCTCTATAAGGTAAACAATTTTATAGAATTTATAGAGCCACAGTGGTTAGAATGCAGTACTGCAGCCTACTTCTGCTGCCTGCCTGCTGCCTGCAATTTGGCAGTTGGAATCTCACCAGGCTCAAGGTTGACTCAGCCTTCTATCCTCCTGAGGTCGGTAAAATGAGGACCCAACTAGTTGGGGGCAATATGCTGACTCTATAAACCACTTAGAGAGGGCTGTAAAGCCCTGTGAGGCAGTATATAAGTCTAAGTGCTATTGCTATCTCTCTCTCCCTCCCTCCCCCTCCCTCTCTCCCTCCCTCAAAAAAAAAAAAACCTTGCACATTATGGTACCCACTGTTTAATTGCATATTGTCCAGCTTGACTGAAACATTTAATGAACTTTTTAAAATATAAATGTTAATGCATATTAATGAAAAAAGATTAAAAGAGTATACTTGCAACTTACATTTATTTTTTAACAAAGTCACAGTATAGTTATTCAGAATTTTTTGTTTATTATTTTGTGTTTTGTATGATTCCTAACAATGAACTTTTTTGTCATATAATGAAGGAAGTTGTAGAAAGATTGTTACCTAGACCATCCCTTACTTATTTTTACATGATGTTATCATAGTGTTTTTTATTCTTTTCTAATGGATTATAACCTGTCACGAGATTTCTTAAATAACTCTCATAAATATGTAAGATAAATAAATCAAAAGGTTGGGCATGGGGAGGAATCCATATTCAAAATGTATCTGTTGTCCAATGTATTCTGCTGTAGTTCTTCCAAATGAACGTCTTCTTTGAGTTTTTCTTAAACAAGACCTTCCTTGTTTTCCATTTTGCACACAAGGCTAGAGGTTTATATGATTAGCATATAAAATTCCTATCCTTGCATTAACTGAATTTTGGCTCGCTTTAAATATGATCTGATATCAAATTATAATCCTCACTAAATCAAAAAATCACAGTGTTTGAACTCACATTAATCGCAACCTACTTGTATTCTGAATGATATGTGTGTTTCAAACTGAGGTACTTGTTTTGCCACACACAGTTGGGTTTCTTATTCAATAGGCAGTGACAGGCAAGGCTGCTTCAAGATTTGACTGAACTGTGCTTGCTTGTTATAATAGAGAATTTAGATGTGTTTAGATACCATGAAGCATATCTTCCTACCTGCAAAATGGTAACTAAAGGCATGATAATTTTCACTTTTTTTAAGTAAACTGAAGAGGCCACTTCAAATCCCAATAGATTATGAAGCTGCTTTGTTTCAATAAAATTTAAATGCTTATGGCATTGACAGCATTGTAATTCCCCAATGTGTTTTTTTTAGAAATGGGTTTTGTTAATAAATGCTTTAATAAAAAGCTGCTGTTCCAAAATACATTAGTTTAGCAGCACAGATAACGATAATTTTGCTCTGCAAAGTAAGTTGACCAGGCAACATTTGCCCAGTCGCTATCAACCTAACCAATCTCATAGGTTCTGGTTTGAGAATTGGAGGAGGGAGTATTATCTACTCCACCCTGAATTTCTGAAAGAAAGACATGGGATATAAACCTAATCAAAAAATAAATGAAATAAGCTACCGGGCCTGGTAGCTCAGTAGACTAAAAGCATTGTGATTAACACCAGCTGTATGCAATTAAAGGCTCAAGGTTGACTCAGCCTTCCATCCTTTCTAAGGTAGGTAAATTGAGGACCCAGTTTGTGGGGGCAATAAGCTGACTTTGTATAAATATACAAAAGTATGAAGGCTATTGCTTAACGCATTGTAAGCCGCCCTGAGTCTCCGGAGAAGGGCGGCATATAAATCAAATTAAAAAAAAAATACTTAGTAACTAGTAACCTAGCAAAATAGGATACTGATGTTGAGCCCATCTAAGGACATCCACTGTGATGGTGGGTTGAGCATCTCATCTGCTGCTGCCATGAATAGTTTTTGCTGATGGGGGAAAGGATACAGAATTTATAAAATAGAATTTTCTTTAACAATTTTTTTCTTACGCTTCATCATGTTATTTTCACACCAATTAGTCTTAAAAGGTTAGCGGCTTTTGGGTCCTCCTTCTTTATTCCTTGTATATGCCATTTCTGAAGAGAGCTATTTTCCTCCTAGGGGGCAGTGAGCAAAGACCTAGTTTGCATGGTCTTGTTGGTAGGTGGAAAAGAACAGACCTACCATTCCAACATTCGCTCCAAGCATTGCAGAGGACTAAGGACTACAACTTCCATGTTCTCTTATTAGTCTCAACAGTGATGAATCTAAATTGGATTTTCCTTTTAAAGCACATTTTAAATGAAAGACTAAAAAAAAAAATAGATTCAGTGATTTTATTCAAGAATTGTTGAATCCTTTAGGATTTTTTTTAATAGATGGCCTTCGCTCAGCACCAGTCAGAAGTGGCCAAAATGGGAAATGTTGATACAGTCTGTGTGGAAAAGATGAAATGGACAGACAGCTTTTGGGGTAAGTAGCTTGTAAGTAGCTGTTCTGCCATTACAACCTTTTCGTGCCCAACTTTTTTTTTTTGAAAATACACACATTTTTATCACTCTGCTGCTTTTTCTTTCACAGAATTTCAAAGCAAGTATATGAGAAGAAAAAATCTGAACAGTAATGCCACAAATAAAAAATAAGCAACAAAATGAACAAAAAGCCGTAGTTGAAAGAATCACCAATTTTTAAAAAGTGATTTTTTTAAAAAAAAACAAGTTTTATTGGTTTTTTCTCCTCTCCCACATTCATCCACATCTTTTTTTTTTGAACAGAGTGTTGGCCGTTTCTTATCTTATACAATTAATCAAATTCAAATACATTTTACTCAATTACAATTCTTGCCAAAATCGTCTTCCCCCCTTTTCTTTTTTTTAAACATATCTCAATATTTCTATACTTGCATACATAAACACCATCTTCATTTGTCCCTAAATTCTAACTTTACTGTTTATTCATATTTATTCTCTTTTATTCTTAAACAATTCATTCTTTATCTTAATATATTTATATTTGTTTGTTCGGTGTTGCCTTTCTTCCACTTATCTTTTTTATTGTACAGCAATCTTTCTCCTCAAACCTACCCTCTCCCTCTTCCCTATCCCTTCCTACTTTCTTTCCCCATCCTCTTCTTCTCTTCTCTACTTCCCCTTCCCTTCTCCTTCTCCTCCTTTCTTCCCCCGTCTTACCTTCTCTCCTACTCTAATTTCCCTTCCCTTCCTTCCTCCCCACTCTTCCATCTCCCTCTCTCTTTCTTCCTCCCTTCCACCTCTCTTCTCCTTCTTCATCTCTCTGTATCGCTGTATTCATTTTCAATTTAATATTTTCCATTGTGGGGTCCGGGCAGCCGCGATCCCTTGTCCTTTTAATTATTAACAGTATATTTCATCTTGTTCCCTTTTTTTCTTCAAATCTTTACTCAAACAATCTTCTAATCCTTTGTCTTTTTTACTTTTACCAATGTATTTTTTCTGCTTTACTTCTTGTAAGTATAACATTTAAATCATTGTTATCATTTCAATTTAATTCAGTTTTACATTCAATTTCAATTAGTAAATATATTTCTCAAAATATCTCAACAATATATTTCCACTTATTCAGATATATATTTATAAAGCACGTCTTAATCATTTCTCATTTTACCCAATCCAATTAGTTCTTAAAATATTCCTAATTTGCCTTCTTATATACCTTGCTCAGATATATAGTTTGAAATATTTATTATTAAAACCTATCATTCTATAGACCTCCAATATTATTAAGCATATGACATTTATTGCAGTTTCTCCAGTTTTCAGTAGAGCATATTTAAAATTTAGAATATAGAGTATAAGTCTTATTCCCTTTATTTCATACAGCTCTATACTCCCCTTATTTTAAAATCACTTAATTGATATCACTGTTTTATCTTTTTTTCTGACATTAAACTCATCTATTAAATTTTACAGTTCTGAATATATTTTCATTTCTTTCTGTCTTTCTCTTTTTCTGCCCTATATTTCCCATTGTTTCTGCTTTTCCTTTCCTTTTTCGTATTTTTTCATTGTTAATCCCAATGTACTTATTTTGTGTTTTAAAATCATGAAATCTTTGCCCTTTATTTCCCATTGTTTTCCATCACTTTTCCCTCTTTTTTATATTTCCACTGTAAATCCCAGTGTAATTATTTATATTTTTAATATTTTTTCTTCACCACCACCCTCTTTTTCTTCTTTTCCTTTTCTTTTTCCTTCTTCTTCCTTTCTTTTGTGTTTTAGAATTCTGCACTCTCCTGTTCTGCCCTATATTTCCCATTGTTTCTCCTTTCTCTTTCTTTTTTTGTGTCTTTTCATTGTTAATCCCAGTATACTTATTTCGTATTTTAAAATCATAAAATCTTTTATTTTGTCCTTTATTTCCTATTATTTTCCATCTCTTTTCCCTCTTTCTTATATTTCCACTGTAAATCCCAGTGTAATCATTTAAATTTTTTATATTTTTCCTATTCTACCCTCTTTTCCTTCTTTGTTTCTTTTCTTTTTGTCCATACTTAATATTACAATTGTTTAATTTCCATAGTCAATCTCTTTGTCTTTGTCTTCTTTGTTATCATCTTTTTTATTTCTCATTAGTCATTTTCTTTTCATCTTCAGTGCATTCTAGCTCAGTCTTTACATCCTTGAGTTTCGATTTTCCATGCAAATTAATAATCATTTCCTTTATTTCCAAACACATCGTCTTTATCAGTTCGTTAAGTTCCTGTTCCATTTTATTCTTTTCGAGTTGATATTATTCCAGTTTTAAGTCGCATTAAGGTCCTTCTTTTTTAATCATCAAAGTCTATCCTCTTATAGGCAAAACATATCATACTTAGTTCTTCCCAGTTATAGTTTTAAAAGTTCAAGGTTTTATTTATTTTTTTCCTCGCTTCTTCAAAAGTTTTCTCAAAACAGACAATTCCATGTCATGCTCTTCTTTCTCCTACAGATGTCTCTCTATAATCCACCGTTCCACTCAGCTAATTAACAAATCGCCATTTTATTTGTAATCCGCATCCATTTTTACCGAGTCAAAAAAGAGAAAAAGCCAGTTTTTCAATTCTTCTTTCACCTTTATATACAACCAATCAGTTTGTAATCCAATCCAAATTAAATCCAAGTTCCAAATTTACATTTCCATTTATCAATCACTTTTAATTCTTTAGTCGAGTTCTTCTATGGCGTGCTTGTCATTCTCACTTTCTCCATCCGCCATCTCCCCTGTCGCTATTTAGCCGCTATTTCCACACCTGGGTAATTTTAGTAGTTTAAAATATTTAGAATTTTCTTTTTATTGTCTATGGGTTGGCCAATCATCCGAAGACCTCCCAGTGTCGGTTCGCCAAGCTCGTCGGAGCCCGGCATTTTCCCAGCCAGTCATGCTGCACCACTTCCGGATTCCCAATTTTAAAAAAGTGATTTGAAAGGAAAGCCTTGAATGCTGAAATGTCTAATAGCTTTGGGGTGAGGGGAGAATAGTTTTGGGCAGATAATCTTCCAAGATACTTTTCAACGCCCTGATAGAAAATTTAGGTAATTGGTTGTACAGATTTGAAACGAATTTATAGACCTTTAAGCAAGTCTGAATAATACTTGGATTTCTTCAAACCCTGAAGCCTTTTATTTCGAGTTATGCCTCAGTTGCCAGAGGATTTAATAGGGTGCCTCTTCTATTAGCTTGAGTACTGTCAGCCCTGCAAGGTAGTACAGATAAGAAGCACAAAACATGAGTTTATGGGGGAGGTATTGGCTCTGGGAGTTGAAGTCCATCCATCTTAAAATTGCCAGGATTGAGAAACAGTGTTTAGTATTAGTAAAGTAATTATAAATGTAATTTTATTTTAAAGAAGTGAATTTCTACTTATCATGAAAATATAGTTTTAATTTTGATTTGACTGAATGATTTGTTGCCTTTTGACCACAGAGTATCTTAGAACTTCATTTACATTCCAAGATGATCCTTGCCAAAAGTACTATGAAACCCTCCTGGTAAATCCGATTTTGTTTGTTCCTCCAACAAAGGTATTTTTTTTTTTTAGTTCTAGATGTTTTCCTTTTGTTCTGTAGTGAAGCTGTCAAAGCATTCCAAAGTTGTTGTTGTCTCTTGTTTTAGGCCCTGGCTGTTACATTTACCAATTTTATAACAGAACCACTGAAGCACGTTGGACAAGGAATTGGTGAATTTATTAGAGCTCTCATGAAAGAAATTCCAATACTTCTACAGATTCCAGTGCTGATCATAATGGCAGGAGCAACTTTGGTAAGTATTTGTTTGAAGGGGATTCATCTGGAATTTTGGACTGATGTCCCACAATACAAGCTATAAGCTCCCAGACACCACTAAAGTTGATTTGAATGCTAGGAAAAAACATCTTATTAGCAAGATCAGTTCAGTAGTGGAACTAATTACTAAATTGTATTTAGTCCCCTTTGTTTGACATGTTTGGTTTCCAGGCCCATTCCAAATCTATGATCAGCATGTCTCTTGTGTGTATGACCTGGCCCCAATGGCCCCAATGAATTCAGTAAGAGGAAAATAGATGTAATTTACACTGCAATTGGATACCTGACGTTGTTAAACATCCCCCCCCCCCCAACTGCTTTTGGTGAATTTCTCATAGTGCCATTTGCTACTCAAGAGGTTGGAGGGATAAATCATGTACAAAGGGCAGTTTGAAAGCCATTGTTTTTTGAAGACAATCCAAAATCACGTTCTAGGTAAATTATCCTGAACTGGTGCCTGGTGGCTCAGGTAGACATTGGGTTGGAATTTAGCAAGTCTTTGTTTGAGACCCAAGTGCTGCTGCATGGCAGAGCGAGCTGAGCAAGCTCCAGCTGCTTGATGGGGACATGAACCCCAAGGGCCGTCCCCTAGATGATGGTGATGTTACTGGCTAAACCTTTCAACCTGGAAGCGCCTTAAATGATGCCTCCAGCTTGAATAGGATGGGAACTTGGGCCAAAAACTGATGTATTAATTAAAATTAATGCAGTGTACCATGATAAAAATGATTTGGTTGTTGAATCTACAGAGATTGTTCTAATATTGGTTTACAGTTCATAATCTAAAAGGTTCAGATAAATATAAAAAAGATTAAGAACTCTTAATCTTTTAAGATTAAGATTTAAGATTAAGAGATCCAAGATGGCACCGCCGAAGGCTGCCTCAGTGAAATGCTCTCTAATGGTTTCTTTATTTTTCGTTATTCTCTGCGACTCACTATGGATTTCTTACTCATGAGACCATCTGCTAAAAATTAAGCAACGTTTCTTTAAGAAGCAGCTTTCTGTGATCTCACACCCCCCCGTCTTTACAAACGCGGAGGAGATTCTAACACAGGAAGAAGCAATTTCCCCGGAGCCATGGATTACCAAAAAAACCAAACTGAAGAAGCGAAGAAAGAGAGGTAAAAGGGCGGGGATTTTAAACAGATTAAGGAATAGGAGAAATAAAACTCCTCTGCCTTCAATTTTTCTAACCAACATACGTTCATTTGCTAATAAAATTGATGAAATACTCCTTTTAAACACATACAATTCTGACTTTTACAATTCAGCCGCCCTATGCTTCTCTGAAACCTAGTTAAACGAATCAATTGAAGATAGCAGCCTGCATATCCCAGGGTTTCAGATTCAACGATCAGACAGAATTGCAGAAACATCTGGTAAAAAGAAGGGATATATGCTTATATATCAACTACAGTTGGTCTCAGGATATAACTATAATATATAAGTTCTGTGATGAAAACCTAGAGACATTAATTATCAACTGCAAACCATACTATTCGCCTCGTGAATTTTACTCATTTCTTCTAATTGCTGTTTATGTCCCACAACAAGCCTGTGTAAACAAGGCATTACGAACTCTAGCTGACCAAATTATGGAGGCTGAAGCCAAATACCCTGATTTACTGGCCATTATTTTGGAAGATCTAAACAAGGCAAACTTAAGGAAAGAGCTACCAAAATACTTTCAGCATTTCAATTGTCTCACTAGAGGCAAGAATACTTTAGACCATTGCTACACAACACTAAAAGATGCTTATTGATCCTTACCACGAGCAGCTGTGGGACACTCTGATCATTGCATGATTCATCTTGTACCTGCTTACCGGCAAAGACTTAAAACCACCAACACACCAACAATTAAATCAGTGAAGACCTGGACGGAGGAGGCAAAGTTAAAGCTACAGGCCTGCCTTGACTGCACTGATTGGAATGTTTTCAAAAGTACCTCTGCAGACTTAGATGAACTCACAGAGACTGTAACATCATATGTCAGCTTCTGTGAAGACCTATGTGTACCCACCAGGAACTTGCGAATATACAGTAACAACAAACCTTGGTTCACAGCTAAACTTAAGCTGCTACATCATTCCAAAGAGGAAGCCTACAGAAAAGGTGATAAAATGCTGTACAATCAGGCCAGAAATGTATTAACAAGGGAGATCAGAGCAGCAAAAAGAAGCTACTCTGAAAAGCTAAGGAATCAGTTCTCAACAAATGAACTAGCAAACATGTAAAAAACTCTTAAAAATATCACCGGCTATGGCAAACCTTCCCAGACTGAAGGAAATCAGCAACTGGCAGATGACCTGAACGTGTTTTACTGCAGGGTTGAAAGAAAACTACAGCCACCTATCTCCACAACCCCCATCTTAGACACACCAACAACAGCCAAGCCTCTTACAACTGACCCCATCCCATTGGGTTCACAACCCCTAGTGATCACAGAAAAGGAAGTGCAAGACCTATTTCACAGACAAAAGCCAGGAAAAGCTCCAGGCCCAGACAAGATAACTCCTTCTTGCTTAAAAGTCTGTGCTAACCAATTGGCCCCCATCTTCACCCGTATCTTCAGTAAATCACTAGAGATGTGCTATGTTCCTCCTTGCTTCAAACACTCTACTATCATCCCAGTGCCGAAGAAGCCCACCATCAAGGAACTGAATGACTACAGACCAGTTGCTCTAACATCTGTAGTCATGAAAACCTTTGAAAGGCTAGTGCTGTCCCACTTGAAAACCATCACGGATCCGCTGTTAGACCCCTTGCAATTTGCATACCAAGCAAATAGATCGATAGATGATGCTGTTAATATGGCTCTGCACTACATCCTACAACATCTTGAATCTCCAAAGACCTATGCAAGGGTCCTCTTTGTAGACTTTAGTTCAGCATTCAATATCATAATTCCAGACACACTTCTAACTAAGATAAACCAGCTACAGGTACCTGAACACACTTGCAAGTGGATCATAAGCTTTCTAACAAACAGGAAGCAGCAGGTGAAGCTAAACAGAATCGCATCAGATACCTGTACAATTAGCACAGGGCCCCCCCAAGGTTGTGTGCTCTCCCCACTTCTCTTCTCTGTATACCAATGACTGCATCTCTAATGATCCATCTGTTAAACTACTGAAGTTCACAGATGACACAACAGTGATCGGTCTCATTTGAGACAATGATGAATACACATACAGATGGGAGGTTGAACAACTAGCCTTGTGGTGTGACCGGAACAATCTGGAACTGAACACACTCAAAACCGTAGAAATGGTAGTAGACTTTAGGAGAAACCCTTCCATACTTCCACCTCTCACGATATTAGACAACACAGTATCGACAGTAGAAACCTTCAAATTTCTAGGTTCTACCATATCGCAAGATCTAAAATGGACAGCTAACATCAAAAACGTCATCAAAAAAGCACAACAAAGAATGTTCTTTCTGCGCCAACTCAGAAAGCTCAAACTGCCCAAGGAGCTGCTGATACAGTTCTACAGAGGAATTATTGAGTCTGTCATCTACATCTCTATAACTGTCTGGTTTGGTTCTGCAACCCAACAAGACAGACACAGACTTCAACAGATAATTAGAACTGCAGAAAAAAAAAATTACTACCAACCAACCTGCCTTCCATTGAGGACCTATATACTGCATGAGTCAAAAAGAGGGCTGTGAAAATATTTACAGACCCCTCACATCCTGGACATAAACTATTTCAACTCCTACCCTCAAAACGACACTATAGAGCACTGCACACCAGCACAACTAGACACAAGAACAGTTTTTTCCCGAATGCCATTAGTCTGCTAAACAAATAATTCCCTCAACAGTCAAAACTATTTACTAAGTCTGCACTACTATTAATCTTCTCATCGTTCCCACCACCCATCTCCTTCCACTTAAGACTGTATGACTGTAATTTTGTTGCTTGTATCCTTATGATTTATATTGATATTGTTTCCTGATTGCTTATTTGTGCCCTATGACTATCATTAAGTGTTGTACCTTATGATTCTTTTATGTACACTGAGAGCATATGCACCAACATAAATTCCTTGTGTGTCCAATCACACTTGACCAATAAAAAATTCGATTCTATTCTATTAAGAAAGAAATGCCATTTAAATACTCTGAGTAGTATAGCTTGGAAGCAAATATTTGAGAAAATAATATTTAATAAGAAATCTTAAAATATATAGCGTCCCTGTTTGGGTACATGTGGATCACATCCAACAGAGCCTTTCTGTCAGCAGAAATTTGGTTGCTGGATCAAATTCCCCTTGTTCTGCACTTTCAGTTCATCTCACCAATTTCTCTGAAATTTATCCAATTTCTCTGGAGGGCCCTCCAAAAAGACTTCGGTGGCATAGCTGGGGGAGGGTCCTGTAATAGAAAAGACAGGAAAGTCACCTCAGGATAGGTAGAAATCATTGCACCTAACAATGTAAAGAGTTTAATAAACGTTAAGATTGGAATTGCAACGTTTCATTTGGGAGCTTACGCAATTCTTTTCTAGATTTTCTGCTACGGGGCAGGAAGATCTGTCACTGCTCTAAGAAGTTTACCATACCAGGAAAGGCCACAGCCTCCTGCTCTTCCTCCAAGGGATGGAAATCAATCACCACCAATGCTTCAGCCAAAGCAGAGTGGGGCAGATGGCAAGGCAGGCTACTTGACTGGAAACACAGAGTCCATCCCAGGAGGTCCTTATGACAGAGGAGATGCATCAAGAAGAGACATGCAAACCAAATCCGACTGTGACCGTAAACACAACATAGAGGTTGTGCAAGCTGGTAGTACACTGGATGTACCAGCAGAAGAACATTCCAAGTTGGCAACCAAGGTAATCAGAAGGATGTTGGTTTTAATTCTAATTAAATTGGGTGTGTTTGTGCATTATATTTATCCACTAGCCCAGGGGTCCCCAACCTCCTTGCCACGGCCTACTAACGGGCCATGGCCTATTCATAACTGGGCTGCATGAGCAGCAGGCTGGTGAACATGCACATGCGCATGCAGCTCAACTTGCTTAGGTTGAACTGTATGCAAACCAATATGCCACTCACACAGCCCAGTTTCCCTCTCCCCCACAGCCAGGCCACGGGGCCACTCACTGATAGTAGAATCTCTTACAGAATGAATTGAATCCTAAAGAAGAGAAGCAGGCTAATGATGTAATGGAGAAAACCAACACAGATTCAGACCTGGATAAAACAAACATTGTTGAACCTAGCCAAGTACCAAAGCATCCAGAAAGTAATGGAAATGAAACAAAACATAGCAGCAGTGAAGACGGGATTGTGAAACAAAATGTTCCGGAAGCCCCAGAGTTTCAAGGGAAAGAGAAATGTGGATTGGAAGAATCCAGAGAGAGGATTATAGAAACCTTGAACCCATCTGTAAGTTTAAAATGGATTCACCCTTGTGTATCTTAAAGCCAATTTGGCCTCCCATAACAAAGAAATGGTAATGAGTAAATGTAGAATTGTTCCTGTGTGCCTAGAGTCTATTCCTACAGGGATAGGAAGACATGCATGGAAAGGCCAATAATTTTCATTTTTTTTTTAGAGTAAGAGGAATAGTTAGATTGTAAATTGTATAAATCTTTCATGAGAGAAAACAGTGAATACTTCTTTCCCCAATTTATATAGCTGTTCTCCAGATGTCTTTAATGATTCACTAGGAAAAGAAACAAATGGATCTGTTGACAAGTGCCATTTTTTTTTAAAAAAAAATTATGTGCGTTGTAGTAGTTTACTCATAAAGAAAAAATAAATTCAATTTATTAATTAACTAGTCTAGGTAGAAATGCCATAGCAGTATTTTAACAATACTTCATGGACTGATTTCAGGCTCCAGTTGTGGAAGCAGGTGGTGCAATTCATTAAATAATAAATAACCATTCTCAGCTTCACTGCTTGATAACGAGAGTGGGGCTTTTTTCCAGTTTATACACTTTGGTGAGGTTTCTACTCCAGATAGTTAGGAAATACTTTAACGGGTGGGAAAGTGTTATTGGGGATTTGGGGTAGGGGGTGAAGGCAAATTGGCAGAAATTCGTTTTCTCCCCCTTTCAGCCACTGTCATCTTCCCCACTGTAGTGCAGTCTTACATGATTTAAGTATTTGCTTTGAAAAGGCAGTAGTGTTTTTGGTGCTCTCTGCACTTGGTTGTTACCAAACTAGGTATCATCAGTGCACAGATATTACCCTGTTTCTCCCAAAATAAGACATTCCCTGATAATAAGCCCAATCGGGCTTTTGAGCGCAAGATAATAAGGCCAAGCACTTATTTCAGGGTTCAAAAAAATATAAGACAGGGTCTTATTTTCGGGGAAACACGGTGCCTAGTTTGGTAGTGAAACATCTGCAAGAAAACAACCAAGCTCAGTGAGCACCAAGGACAATTCAACCCTGAGCTACAAATATTCTCTTCTGCCAGTGCAGCACTTTTCTGGCAATAGCAATTGTTATGAAATTTATGGAAGTTATAGACAAGATGCTGTTTCATACCGTATGATGAAGCATGTGGGGAAGATTTCCAGGGCTTAATGTGTTATTTGTTAATATACAATGATTTTCTGAATTTCTAGAAGAGTAGTTGGTAACTTGAAAAGTTGGGCAGTTACTTAGCCCTTCAGTGAGACTCACTTCTAACTAACGCTCCATAAAAATTTAGAGACTGACATTTTTAAATTGACATTTTTTTTAAAAAAAATGTTGCGTAACACCCAACTGTATCTAACAAGGACTTCACATGTTTGGAGTATTTAACTATCTGTGTCATGTTTTTCTGGTTCAGTTTCCACTCCATTGCTTTCCCACTGGGAGGAAAAATAACTTCTCTACAAAGGACTTAAAATACATCTTAAGCAGAAAGAGAAATCGTTGAAGGAGAAAGATCAGATTAGTATTTTACTAGCCCTGTTCTGTAATAAAAGATTTAAAAATAGAGGATGAAACAAACTTCAAAATTTTAGTATACTTTTCCTCTCCTTTGGACTGTTGAGGGCAACAAATTCATATTGTGGATTAATGAATGTTTGACTCCCCAATGCAACAGAGGTTGTGGCTTGTAAAGATATTTGGCAGAAGGCTTTTAAATAATTGAAATCTTCTCCTTACAGGAACAGTATCAGAGGAACTCTGCTTCCTGACAGACCTCTACCAGATAGAAGCCATTTTTTTTAAAAAAAATATTTTTAATCAAAAAGAATTCATCATTCTGAAATGAGAAAATTATTCACTTTGTAACCCCAGGATTAATCAGGATGCTTTTCTTCTGACAGCTCCAAGGCATTTTGAAAGGATCTTATAGAATTATGTATTAAATGTATAAAACGTGCAAGAATCTTGTACATACGGCTTGACAGTGCAATAAAAGATTTACTATATATGGAACTTTAGTGTAATTCATACTGTGTTCATAAATAGGAACATTTCAATAGTTCATTTTAGTTACAATCCAAGAGCAATCGTAAAAATGAAATTGGACCATAAATTAGCTTAATCACTTAAGTTAGGCTTTGAGAAATAGTTGGGACTTACTATTAATAATTTCAGATTAATATTAAAAGAATCAAAAAATGTATGTGTTCTTGTGAATGTCCTAGTCCGTAGAATACAATTTAATGAATACAAATACTCGAAATATGGAGTACAACATGGTGTTCTACAGTAATGAAGACCACAGGTTAGAAATACTAAGAGGTAAGGAGCACTTGGAGGCTCTAAATGAAGGGCTCAGTAAGACTTTCAGGGAAGTGCAAAACAGCCAATAGCCACATAGATGAAAGAACTGATGAGTAGCCCTCTCCAGATAAGAGCCTCGGTGGTGCAGTGGCTAGAGTGCAGTACTGCAGGCTACTTCTACTGATTGCCGGCTGCCTGCAATTTGGCAGTTCAAATTCCACCAGGCTCAAGGTTGACTCAGCCTTCCATCCTTCTGAGGTGGGTAAAATGAGGACCCAGATTATTGGGGGTAATATGCAGACTCTGTAAACCACTTAGAGCTGTAAAGCACTGTAAAGCGGTATATAAGTCGAAGTGCTATTGCTATAGAGAACAAGAAATTGCCCACATTTGCTCCACAGAGCCACTCCTCATGAGGTGAATGCAGGACACTTTTTTTTTTTGCAGGTTTCGACTCCAGAAGACAAAAGGATCATTCAACAAAGGGATTGGTCATCCTTCTTGCAACTGCACTGGACCCTTTTAAAGGATAGTAAATTCACATGCCTCACTTCGTAAACCCTGAGAAATTACCTATTACCCATCTTAAAGTGGTAGGTAATGACAGCCGAGATTATAGGAAGCTTCCCATTATTCAGGATACTGCTTATAAGCACTATGTGCTTAGAGCTCAAAGCATTGTTAGAAGACCCCACACCCACTTTACGGTCTGTTTTTGTTGCTCCCCTCTGGGAGGAGGTTTCAAAGTATTTCTAGCAGGACTACCAAATTCTGTAATAGCTTTATTCCCTATGCCAGATAAACTTGCAAGATTTGTTTTTCTCGCCATGTACATGTATATATCGAACTAGACTGTTTTTGTGTCATATGTGGGTATATGCATAATTTTGTATTTATTTTGTCATATTTATGTAGTGTATATTGGAGGTGGTGACCTTTTGAGAACTGTATGCAGCGAAATTTCATTTTAATGTATGTCAATTAGTATACATTCAAAGTGACAAAGTTATTCTAAGTCTTCTAGAGATCTTAAATGACAAGTTTGAAAAGTTATTGGGCGAGTTCATTTTCAAATCCAAACAAAAGAAAAATTACAAGCTTAAACTATTTGAAATAAACAGCAAAAAAGTTAAGTAAGATTTTAATCTAAGAAAGTTGTCCCAAAGGTGCTTTTTTTTTTTTCTTTTCCAAAAAGGGAACTGGACTTTCTTGGTTTTTTCTTTGAAAATGTTTTGCTTCTCATACAAGTAGCTGCTTCGGTTTTCACTGACTCAAGGGGAAGCTGATGAGAAGCGTAACATTTTCAAAGAAAAAAATCAAGGAAGTTCAGTTACCTTACAACCATTTAATGACCTGGATGATTTGAGAATATCAATACATATCGAAGAAAATTATAAACCATTTAAGAAGCCAGATAAATCTGAACTTTAAGATTTTGGAATTAATTATTTTAAAATAAGCAGTTTCTTATGGGAAACAAACTTATTCTGGCAATCCTGGCTTTGTAAGTCATAACAAAGATTTTTCAATTATGTTTTTTGAAACTGGATACTAGAAAGAACTAAAGTTTCCAAGAAGGGGAAAAATCCCAAGCCTGTTTTTGATGTCAATTAATACTGTGTCTTACAAAATGATGCAAAAGTTATTCAGAAACATTAAAGATTTTTGAAGAATGGAGTCAGAAATTAGTAAATACAATAGCAACCCTGTCAGTAATGACATCTGCTTCTATGGATACACTATGTCCAAAGATGTTAATGAAAGAACAGTTATGGAACAAATTTTATCTGATAAAAGTATAAAATGTAGAGCTACAAATGACAGGCGAAAAGAATGTTTTGGAAAAGGATGTTTTACTGGATATACAAAAGAAACTGGATGAAATTTAAAAATTAAAAAGAAAATACAAACAAATTGAGACAATGACCTGGAAAATGTTTATCGGCTCTACAAAAGAGAGTTATTAAAGCCTTGAATAAAACTGCAGTGGGATAAGAATTGAAATCAACTACTACAATACAGGTAGTGCTCAACCAACAACTGTAATAGAGCCTGCCCATTACAGTTGAAAGTCATGGCAACCATTAAGTAAAAACATCCACATGGTTGTCTCACTTACAAATCCCCATACCTGCTCTTCCCAACATGGCTGTTAAATGACCATGTTAAATGGCACACAGGTTTCTCAGGGTCCAGGAGAGAACCTGGGAAGCCTAGCACAGGCCCCGCCCCAGGCGCCCTAAGACGACCTCTGCTCCAAGGCACCCCATGCTCTGCTTCATGCCCCTTGGGGTCGAGGTCTTGGGCCTGTCCCCCCACCCAATTGGGTCACACTTCTCCCCACCCACCTCCATTCAATCACTCATAAACTTTTATGGGATAAGTAAGCTGGGGCGCTGCAGCATCTCTACAGTCAATCATAAGGTCAACAATCACAGGGACACTGTATAGGTCATGCCTTCAGAACCTGGGCACAAATAGCTTTTGGGGAGAGTCCACTTTTAACTTCAAAAGGTCATTAAATAACCAATTATAAATTGAGGATTACCTATATGTGATTGAATTAAGGACTATTAGAAATAAACAAATATATAGTTTACTCGTTTGATCAAGTTTAAAATGAGATTTTAAAGTTCTGGCAACACTTTATGGTGTTTGCTGACACCAGGATTGAAAAGTTAAAGTTTTATGGATTTGCTTTGAATAAGGGATGAAATTATGGGATGAAGAGATACCTGTAACCTTACAGAGGGTAAAAAGTTATTAAATTTGCTTATACTTGTTCTCTCACTTCTAGAAGTCACTTTATATTTTTTTCTTTTCTTCCCTTTTCTTTTCAAGTTTAGTTTATGTAAATTTTTCTTACTGTAATCAAAATTCTTAATTTTTTTTTAAAAAGCTCAATGAGAGGTGATGATGAAGCCTCTGGGTGCTTTGTTCATGGCCTAAACTAAATTGGCTTCTTTTCCTTGCATTGGCTTAATACTGTTTTATAGATAAAAAGATAAAAAACACAACAGTATTAAAAAATTGTTTTTTAAAAAAACCACCATAATACTGTTCATTTTAAAACCTTCTGTAATATGTAAAAGTTAGAAAACATTGAATTTATTTCTACAGTTTACATATTTTAGCAGAAAAAGTTGTCCTAAATTTGTGACAAAAGTACCTTAAACAGATTCCATTAATAAAGGAAAACAGTACATAAAGAGAAATTAACAGAAAAGCACAGAGTATGGAAATAAAACACTATACAGCTGACTTTAGAACCAGTATTCAATATCTGATTTTAAGCAGTGGTAGTAATGACTGTACCGTATTCTATGTACATATACTGAATATTTTCAATATATATATATATTTCCCCTGAAGGCATTATATGTAAACTATCTGCTGCTGCTTTACATAATCATCCCTTATTCTTTCACATGAGCTTAGGTCCATTAGGTAGAACTTGGCCTCTTCAAATTAGATGGTGGAAAGACTCTCTGTTCATCCATTCTTTTCCCCTGCGATCTTAAAATAAGGCTGAAGAAATCTTCATCAGGAACAGTTGGCCCTTTTGGAATGTTTGGTGGTGGTTCACATCTCTGGTCATCTAATCGAGAGCCCTAAAAAAAGACCATATTAAAACCACTATTTTATTTTACAGTTTCAGTTAGTCTATTTTTCCATGGGAACCCTACTGGTATCTATTTCAAACCTGATGTCTTCCAATCATCCTGAACAGTTATTCCAACAGACTAGATGATTTTTATTTTAAATTTTAATATTCACTTGATGAACAAACAATTACATGTAGAAGAAAATCCAGAAGTCCATATAGGAAAGCGAAGAGGCTGGCATTGAAATGCTGCCTACCGGTCCTTACATACACCAAGTCACCTGCCCGCAAAGGGATCAAACCCTTCAACCTTAAGTTTCATAGCTGGATAGTAACTTATGATCAAAAGACTGCAGTCCTACACACTTACTGGGAAGATGGTCCACCAACTCAACAGTACCTGTTTTTAAATCTGAATAGGATGCTCCAAGATACATTAATATACAGAACTCCCCAAAGCACTGCAGGTAATAAATTTCCTGCCAGACTGAGCATCCTGGAAAACAAATGGAGTGGTACTTGCTGCTTGAGGGGAGTGAAGCTACAACTGAAATAGTATCCAAGTAAGTTTTACTGGTAACTAAAAAATAAATCTAACGTTACTGGGTTGAATGGTAATCTGTTAAACTTTGGGATATGAATTATCCTCTATACCAATATCAAGTGCTCTTAAGTGCCTCTCCTTTATCCGTGTAAAATACATTATAGAAAAGATGAAAGTATCAAAGGCTGAGGAAACCCTAAATACTAGAGAAATATACTTCTGAAAACAAGACTTTTGAAAGTTTTATGTTAAAACTACATAAATCTTTGCAAGTCACTGAGCACACAAGTGGGGATTTTGCATGCATCCATAGTGAGCACTTCAATTTTAAACTCATTTGTGTGCAGAAAGATAAGTCTGTTTCCTCTTGATAAATTTAGGTTTTTGTGCTAATGAGAGAAAAGAACAGGATTCCACATGCAGATAACAAAATACACTATAATGACTATACTCAATCTGTCAAACACTGAGCTATGTTTAATTTAGATTTAAAATTCACCTTTAAAAAACACTACAAAAACTTCATGATTTTGAAGAATTGCTTTGGACATTGCATGGCACATATATATATATAACTTATTAAAGCAGCTTGACTTTTTTCAGGTTTCTATATTGCTTACTATGGTATGAATGAACAAAATTTTACCATTATTGTTTTTGCTCAAATAGCTCCCCCCCCCTCAAATTGGATATATATATATACTTTCTATGCAGAAATAGTTTTAAATTTTACAATAGAAACTCAAGTTCATAGTTCACTATGATGCACATTCATTTCGCTGCATTAAGTTTATGGTTGCGCGATGCTTTAAGGACAAGTGCATCAAAATGTGCAGCTCTTAGCAGCAATTCATTACAATCATGCAACTGTTTTAATAAGTCAGAACAAGGCTGCGCTCGTACATCTAATGCATTTCTTCAACAGCACAGTCCTGTTACCCTTAACATGGTTATTCAAACTTCCTATTGTAAACCTGTTGGCATATTACCACTTAACACTTAAATGCTTAACAGAAGGGTAATAGCTACCTAAAGTATCTCAGCAATTGTTTAACGCTTCAAAAGAGGCACAGATTTTTGACTTGCTTATTAATACATTATGAAGTAGGAATATTATTTAGACCCCCATTACAATTTAAGATAACATCTAGGCTAAGAAGTTGGTTTTAATAAAATGAGGAATTGAAAAATTCAATCTACTCTTCTATTTTTGATCCCCTGCCAAACAGTTGAATTTAACATTATCAGATAAAATTGCTTAATTAGCATTAAAAAGATTTTAAATAAAATTATCATATCTTTTTTAAATACTTCCATATTTATTGAATGATTCAACTGACAAAAAATACCACGAGGAGACTCTATGAAACAACTACTTTCTTTA